TGGATGGATGATGGATGGATGATGGATGGATGGATGGATGATGGATGGATGGATGGATGGATGGATGATGGATGGCAGCGAGCTGTGAATTTCGGCTGGGGTGAGAAGTTGCTCTCTGTGTGTGAATGAAACAAGGTTCCTCTGTTTGGGTTGGGGGTTTCTGTGCCTCCCCTGTACGAGCAGGGCACACCAATAAAACCACGGGGTCAGTGCTGGCAGAGTCACCTCCCACAGTGACAAAATTCCAGACTGGGATCTCCACAGAATGTGCTCCACCCTTGCCAAACCCGCGCGTTGGCAGAGGGTTCCAGCGGAGCACGCGGCAGCGCTGAGCGGGGATTTCGGGGTGCCCCTGGCCCCCCAGGAGCTGACACTGCCCCTGCTGTGTTCCAGGCCCGGCTGTGGTGCCTCACCAGTACTATGGAGTCACTCCCTGGGGAGTTTATCCCGCCAGCCTCTTCCAGCAGCAAGCGGCCGCCGCCGCCGCCGCCACCAACTCTGCCAACCAGCAAACCACGCAGCAAACCCAGCAGGGCCAGCAGCAGGTAAGGGCTGCCGGCTTCCCGGGCCAGGGAATGTCCTGAACTGGAAATGAACCCCCAGGAATCGTGGATTCCAAGCCCTGGCCCTGCACTGACCCCCAGCAATCCCACCCTGTGCACCCCTGGCAGCCTCAGGGCCGTCCCCATCCCTGTTCCCTCTGGGGGAAAGGAGCAGGGAGAATTTCTTCCCCAAAAGGGTGATTGGAAAATGTAATGGATTGTCATTGGAGTCCCTGTTCCTGGAGGTGGGTAAGGAAAGCCTGGATGTGTCACTTTGTCACTCGGTGCCATGGTCTGGGTGTCAGGTGGTGGCAGGTCAAAGGTTGGACTTGGTGATCTCAAAGGTCTTTTCCAATCCAGCTGATTGTGTGTTAAACCCAGCCTAAACCTCCCCTGACACAGCTCCAGCCACTCTGAATTACCCTGGTGTTTTCTGTGGCTGATCCTGACCTCAGCTCCGAGTGGTTCTAAATGAGGACAAAACCTCTCCTAAAAACAAAGGGGCGAGAGCCATCTGTAGATCTGTAATTGGATTTATCCTTGGTGCACGTGGAGGGTGGTGCATGGACGTGGGTGGTGGTGAACTAGGGAGTGTCAGTGCTTGGGAAAACACCAGTGGATCAGCTTGGGAATGGCCTGAGCTGTGCAGCAGCACTGCTGTGGTGCTCTTGGAGTGTGAGGGGCAATCACCAGGACCCGAGCTGGGCTGCAGTCCCCACAGCAGCTCCCTGGCTGATGGAGGTGGCAGAATAAAGAGCAGAAGCTGAAAACCTTTTGGAAACCAAAGCCCAGTGTCAGGAGCTGTTCTGAGGCCTTTACAGATGCAGCAGGCGTGAGCTGAGAGAGCTGCAGCAAAGGCTCAGGCTATCAAAATAAAATATCTGGGTGCCAGTGGCCTTTATGGGATGTTCATTACTTTTATGGCCCTGGAGCAGGCGTGAGTGGGGTGGGGAGCGGGGTTTGGAATGCAGACCCTGCTCCTGGGGGCTGCAGCAGGGATTGTTTGCATTAAAACTGCTGAGGCAGAGGCTTTGGGAACCTGGACACCTGATTTGTGACCCTTGTGACACCTTAATAACGTGTTAATAAAACCCAGCAGCATTCCAGTGCGGGAATTGCTGGAATTGCTGGCTCCCAGAGGTGCCCTGGGCTGGTTCCTGTGCAGGCTCTGGCAGAGAACCTCGGGGTCCTTCCCATCCTCTCCGTGCACAAAGTCTGCTTCTGCTGTTAGTGGCTGTTGCAGGTGACAGCCACGGTGTCCCCTGTGCTGCAGGATGTGCTGGGGACACACAGGCTGAGCTTGCAGGCTCCTGCAGCAGCTCTGGCTCTGACAAAGCCAGCCTGTCCCAGGGGATTGCAGGATCTGCCCTCGTCCCTTCTGAGGGACTCCCACCACAGCAGCTCGTCCCTGCCAACCCCACCTGGGCTCTCTGGGCACCATCTCCTGTGCTTTAAGGCTTGTGTCACCAGGTCTCTGCTCTGCACAGGGGCTGGTGGCTTGGGGACAGCCAGGTCACCTCCTGCCACCCGTCCCCAGCTCCTGAGCTGGGCTCTGTAAGGTTTGTGCTCAGGAGGGTTTTTAGTGGGGCTGTGGTGACAGGGAGCAGACATTAGCTGGGGTGGCTTGTGCACACTCCTGACAGAGGATGAGTGTTGGAGGTGGGATCAGGGAATTGGAAAGGTTGGAGAAGCTCTCTAAAGATCATGGAGTCCAAGCATGACCCCAGCACTGCCCCTGTTCAGGCACCACATCCCTGGGTGTTCTGAGCACTTCAGGAGTGGGGACTCCAGCACTGCCCTGGGCAGCTGATTCCAAATCCTGACCACCCTTGCAGGAAATCAGGAAATTCCTGCTGCTGTCCCCCCTGAGCTCCCCTGGCCCAGCTTGAGGCCGTTCCCTCTCCTCCTGTCCCTGTTCCTGGGAGCAGAGCCCGACCCCCCCGGCTGTCCCCTCCTGCCAGGGACTTGTGCAGAGCCAGAAATTCCCCCTGAGCCTCCTTTGCTCCAGCCTGAGCCCCTTCCCAGCTCCCTCAGGAATGCTCCAGCCCCTTCCCAGCGCCCTCAGGAATTCTCGAGCCCCTTCCCAGCTCCCTCAGGAATGCTCCAGCCCCTTCCCAGCTCCATTCCCTGCTCTGGACTTGCTCCAGCCCCTCCAGGTCCTGTTTGAATGTGAAGAAAAGTGAATTAAGAGCAAAGGAGAGAAGGTTTCCCCCCTGGTGCTGCTCCTGCCCCTGCCTGGTGACAGTGGACAGTGGCTCTCTCCTGGCTCCCAGAATAACCCAGTGGCTGTTCCTGTCCTCTCCAGGTGCTCCGTGGAGGAGCCAGCCAGCGTCCCCTGACTCCCAACCAGAACCAGCAGGGCCAGCAGACGGATCCTCTGGTGGCCGCCGCTGCCGTCAACTCCGCGCTCGCCTTCGGCCAGGGGCTGGCAGCAGGAATGCCAGGTAGCAGCATTCCCAGCAGAGCCTGGGAAACAGGATTTGGCTGGCATCAGCACTGCCTGCTGGTCTGGGGGTTAATCCCAGGGCTGGGTGTGTGACTCGATCTTCTCGAGTGTGGCCCGGCTAGCTCAGTGATGAGGTTTCTCTTCACTCGAGTTTCGAGCCAGCAGATGTTTGTGGGGTTCACTGATTTTCTTCAAGAATTCAAGTCTATAGAGCGAGTAAAGAAATCAGGGGGGGACTCTCTCTCTGGTTTGCATTCCACAGTTTATTTCTGTGAAGGGGAATCCAAAGGATGAGAGACAAAGGATTTGGGGTCTGGGGGTCTCCTTTTAACAGGGTTTCTCGGAGGGAGGGAACATCAGAGAGAAAACCAATTATTTTTCTCAGTTAGTACATCTTACAAACTTTCTACAAATCAAGGTTACACACAGCAAGATGAGAAATAACAGACACCAACTTCTTCAAATGCCCACAAAGGTGTGGGAGTATTCTATACAGAGGGGCAGAGGGGAGAGAGGGGGGGCCTGGTTTCCTGGCAGCACAGGGGGGAAAGAAAGGGAAGGCAAGGTAAGCATTCCCTCCCAGCTTCCATAGTTTAGAGGCATTCTGGGACAGGAAAAACAGAGTTACCACCTTCCATGTCGGAAACAAGAGTTCTCTTCTCCCAACCCCGTGCTTTCCTGGGCTAAAGAAACTTCAAGCAGCTGGAAATGCCAGCGGGGTCCTCTCTTTACTCCATCCGGCCTCTCGCCGTGGGGCTGAGGAGAGAAACTTCCGTAACCATGGGAACTTGACACCAGGTAAACAGGAGAAAGAGAAGCTGGGGGGGAATCACAACTAAAAGATGGGAAAAGATACATTTCAGGCTATCAACTACAACAGGTGTGTCCCTGGCTGGCAGCACTGGGGCTGGCAGGTGGCCTTGTGGCACAGGTGACAGCAGTGCCACCTCCCCCTGGGGGCTGCATTGTTCTCCAGGAATCGATGGCTGCTGTGGAAAATCGCCTCCAGGTTTCTCTGTGGGTTGTTGAAGCTTATGGGATCTGAGTTTGAAACCTCAGGGGTTTCTTAGCCCCGTTCATTCATCTCAGCTCTCCATCCCTGCTTGACTTAACAGGGGCTTCCTGCCATGATTGCTCTTCCAAGAGGCTTAAAAAGGGGGAAAGAAAAGGGATAAAAGGGAGCAGGGTTTAGTTCTCATTTCTGGCTCATCATTGGAGGAGATGCTGGAGGAATTCTGACTCTGATCCCTGAGGATTTGGGGTAAAATGCTGCTGAAATTCAGTTATTCCGAATATTATTGTGATGGCAGAGGACAAGCCTGAGCTCATTAGAATAATGTGCAGAAATGTCTTGCTGGTGAAAAGTAAGGAAAAAGGATTATTTGGATTTCAGCTCTCCTTGCTGGCAGTGTCACTTCCTTGTTACTGGGGTTTTTTTGTTGTTTAAGAAGAATGTTGCAGTATTAAGTTACAAAGTGAACTGTGCAGATCTCCTTTAATCTCTGTTATTTGGGTTGTATTTGCTTTGCAAATACACACATATATACAATTACCGGTATATGTTTGTAGCTGTATTTGCAAAGCAAATATTCACAGGGAACATTTAGTGACCTCCCACCTTTGAGAGTCACTGCATTTAATTTTAATATTTTCATTTAATGTGCAATTCCATAATGAGGTGCCTAAATCACTATATTCTGTCAGTCTGCTGCTGTGTGTATCACCAGCACTTACAGGAGTTTATTTACCTGAATTAAAGAATATTTAATGGTACCAACGTTCCAAAATGTAGAAGTGGAAGTTCACTTCCACTGGGTGTTCCAGTGTGGGTGCACCCAGCTCTGAGCAATCCCAGCACACTTTGTATTTATCATGGAGCAGAAACGGTGCTTTTGTATTTTAAACCCGTTTTTAGCTGATTTTACACTGGTCACAGTGTGATAATAAAGATTCTGGGGGAAAAAAGTCTTTTCTGCTTGAAATTCTTTATGTAAAATCGTGGACTTTTTTGGGAAAAGCAGGGCTGTTCTTGCTTCTTTTATTTCCATTCAGCTTTTCCTTTGGAAACCCTCTTGCACTGGGCTCAGGTGGACATGAGTGATGTGTTTGTCACCTGCTGTCACCTGTGCTTGCCTCTGCAGGTTACCCAGTGCTGGCTCCTGCTGCTTACTACGACCAAACCGGAGCCCTCGTGGTCAACGCTGGGGCCAGGAACGGCCTGGGGGCTCCTGTGCGCCTGGTGGCCCCTGCCCCTGTCATCATCAGCTCCTCTGCAGCCCAGGCAGGTGAGTCCTGGCACCAGGCAGGTGAATCCTGGCACCAGGCAGGTCAGTCCTGTCCCCTCCTGCCCAGGCAGGTGAGTCCTGGCACCAGGCAGGTGAATCCTGTCCCCATGAGTCCTGTCCCCTGCAGCCCAGGCAGGTCAGTCCTGTCCCCTCCTGCTCAGGCAGGTGAGTCCTGTCCCCATGAGTTGTGTCCCCTGCAACCCAGGCAGGTGAATTCTGTCACCAGGCAGGTGAGTCCTGTCACCAGGCAGGTGAATCCCTTCCTGTCCCCCCCAGAGGTTCAGGCAGGAGCCTTCTGGTCCCTCCCAGTCCCTGCTGTGTCCCCAGCCCTCCGTGCTCCGCTGGCAGTGATGACAAACTTGCCCTCACTGAGATCCATCAGGGATTGTTGTTGAGAAACATCCTCTGTGCTCAACTTGGCTGAGCCTCCGGAGCAGCCACGGAGAGGGGAGGAGCAGGAAATTGAAATATTTTGTGGAGTTTTGTTGTAGGTACTGAAATTTGTCCCCTGGCAGCAGCTTGCCCACCTGCTGGAGCCTTCAGAATTCCCAGGGGCTCCAGGGAGAGCTCAGAGCCCCCTCCAGGGCCTGCAGGGGCTCCAGGAGAGCTGGAGAGGGACTGGGGACAAGGCCTGCAGGGACAGGACACAGGGAATGGCTTGAGATTGGAAAAGGGGAGATTTGGGTGGGATCTTGGGCAGGAATTGTTCCCTGGGAGGGTGGGGAGGGGCTGGGCTGGAATTGCCAGAGCAGCTGTGGCTGTCCCTGGATCCCTGGCAGTGCCCAAGGCCAGGCTGGACATTGGGGCTGGAGCAGCCTGGGACAGTGGGGGTGACCCTGGGGACAGTGGGGGTGACCCTGGGGACAGTGGGAGGTGACCCTGGGACAGTGGGGGTGACCCTGGGACAGTGGGAGGTGACCCTGGGACAGGATGAGTCCCTTTCCAACCCAAGCTTTTCCATGATTTGTGCTTTATGATATCACCATGCCTCAAATGGCCTTTGCCATGGGTTTCTTTGGCATTTATTTGTGTTCCTTGGGAGTTCAAGGCTTTTAAAAAGGATTTTTCAGCCAGAATCCATTGATGTGAGCAGCCCCTGCCAGCACTGGGCTCAGATTATGAAATGGGCCTTCTAATTGTTTTCTTGTAGCTCTTGTTTATTTTGCTTTTTCTTTAACTTTGGAACTGGCTGAAAACCAAAAGTCCTTGGGTTTGATGTTCTTGGCACCGCAGGTTCATGTTTCATGTGCTGAAGGATCATTTCAGTTATTTCAGAACTCGGGGGTTCTTAATTGGCCCTTGTGAGTGTGGGGCTGCAGCGATTGCACTCCTGGGTGTTTGGAGAAGGAGCCATTCCTGGTTTTGATCTGTGCAGCTCCAGCAGCACGAGAGCAGCAGGAACAGCTGCCCATGGCTGGAGCCCGTAGATAGAATTTAGATTTATGCAGAGTTTGCTCCTGGAATAAGAAACCTGCGGCGATCCAAAGCCACCCGCTAAGGTTTAACTTGCACAAGGTGACCAAAACCGATTTTCTCAGCGGCTTTGCCGACGTTTTCCCGTTGTTGCAGCGGTGGCGGCGGCGGCGGCGTCGGCCAACGGAGCGGCCGGGGGGCTGGCAGGGACCACCAACGGCCCCTTCCGGCCCCTGGGCACGCAGCAGCCTCAGCCCCAGCCCCAGCAGCAGCCCACCAACAACCTGGCCTCCAGCTCCTTCTACGGCAACAACTCCCTGAGCAGCAACTCGCAGAGCAGCTCGCTGTTCTCGCAGGGCTCTGCCCAGCCCAACACCTCGCTGGGCTTCGGCAGCAGCTCCTCCCTGGGAGCCACGCTGGGCTCCGCGCTGGGCGGCTTCGGCACCGCAGGTGAGCCCCCACCTCCCCTCCGGGCTTTGTGCTCTGAGCTGAGTCCCCTCCTCTGTTACCGCTGCAGATGAATAGATCACACAGACACAGGTCGAGGTGTGGTGAAAGGAAGAGAAAGTTAATTTTTCCTCCCAGGATTTATAGGCTTGTGACCACGGCCAGGGATGGGATGCTCAGGATAACACTTTCTCACTGCACTGGCCATGAGAGATGCCCATTACAAGACAACAGAAAGAATGTACACATATCTATGTTTACAGTTACTGTCCTGGGAACGCCTTTAGAAAACCATGTCAGCAAGCTCAGAAGCTGAGTTTTCAGGGTGACACTCCTCCTCCTCTATCCCGGCCTAAATGGGGCTTTTCCTCCAGGCTTTTAGCATTTGTGGGCAGAAATGCTGTTAGTACATGATAATTAGCAGTAGGAGTTAATTACACACATTATTGATCAGCCCCTTGGTGTTTTTCCCTCCATGTGGAATATTGGGATGGCAGGAATTGCTTTCAGAGTGTTGGTAACCCCTCTCACCTCGGAGTAAAGGCTGAGGAGCTACTGGGGAGGGGAGGGGAGGGGAGGGGAGGGGAGGAGAGGAGAGGAGAGTCGAGGAGAGGAGAGGAGACTCGAGGAGAGGAGAGGAGACTCGAGGAGAGGAGAGGAGAGGAGAGGAGAGGAGAC